GGAATTAACAAATAGAACGCAAGGGGTGTTTTAATATGTTTTTCTTTTGTGTTCTTAATTTTTATTTGTTTCTCTTTTTGTAAGCTTTTTTGATCAGATTACCTACCATATGCCGTGAGTCCGCAGGCACTTTTTATTAAAAGAGGTGAAAATAAATGCATTCTATTTTCTCGGAAAGGTACCACAGTACATTGAGGTCTATTACCTCGCAATGAAAATTCTAGGGAGGAGAATAAGGTTTTTTTTAATGATTATCTAATGAGATTTGTCTAGATTAATTAATCTTAGCTATACAAAGCAGGATAATTCTGTCTGTTATTTACGAATTTACGTAAGAAACGTTCTAATTGTTTAGATCTATGCTTCAATTTCTTTGTTTTCATATTTAATTTTATTCAGTTGTTTCAGAAATTGCTGCTGTCATAGAGGAGATTTATTACCATATAAGTCGGCCCAATTTAAAAGCACATGCTGGAAAATAAGCGAAATGTGCAACATAAACGTTTGGCTATAATTTGGGGAAAGCCAATATATCTTTTATTATAATCATTCTCCCACACTCTCTAAAATATGACTGCAAAGGATAAGGCGCTGACTTACCATTCAGTCAAAAATTAGAACCCAAAGAAAATTATGCCTGTTCCGAGACATTCCAATTTCCTTCTTGCCATGCTTTAAAGGAAATTTGTGTTTAATTTATGTAAATTTGTTATGGCTGGCCCCTAAGCCTCTGCGGAAACTTTTCCATCAATTATTTTACATAGCCGGGTTTTTTAGATCTTTGGTCATCAGTTTAATGTTTAATTTGTTTTTTCATCGAATTAATGGTATTTACACATTAATGGCTTGCAATTTACATTTAGGAAGCCCAACGTATCAGCACACAATCATTTGCTAAATTGTTTTTTTATAATTTCAGATTCCTTTAGAACTTCCAGCTTTAAGCCAGAAAACGCAGTTGGGTGAGTAGTTTGCCAATAAGTTGCATTGAATACCTTATATGATTTTCAAATAATTATGGTGTTGATTATATTAATCGCTACCTGCTTATTACCTATGTGTGAAGCGGAATTACTTAAAAGTGGACGGATTGCTTACAAATATGTCGCTAAGAGAATATTACGACTTTTCAACATATAAATCTTCGATAAAAATGATTTGCATATGACGACTGAAATCCACGAAAATCCGTTCAAATATTTCCCAGTTGCATTTTTGTCACACAACTTATCGCGATTTATTCGTAGAGCTTGTGTTGAAGCGGCAATCGAGTTTGCTTGTTGGAATACTCGACTTTCGATATACTTTTGAATAGTGATTGAAACGGTGCAGATTGACTAAAGTAATAAATAAACTTCTAAAAGAAAATACTTTTTAGTTAGGCACGTTCTAAATGCAAAACAAGAGATATATTAGTGGGTCGGCACTGTATTAAAAGGCTGAAGATAAACCTCGAGAGAAATGGCAAACTGTAGAGAACGTCAAATTTCTTAACATTATTTAGCAATATATCACACCAAGAAGTGTGCCGTTACGTATACCGTTGCGATGTATCCATTTTAATTTCCAGAAATGCCTTCTTTTCGTGGTGGGTGCATATTTTTCACCGTTAAAAAGAAATACTACAAATCTTTATGAAGGATCAGGACAACAATTTGAATATTGCTTCCACATTTTATTTCTTGTATACTTATATACCACATATACATATTTATACCTGTATTTTGTGGTGCCAATAATGGCAAAATGGTAAAAGGGCCACTGCCTTTGCATGTAGTTTTATAAAAAGGGTATCCATACGAAAAGTGCTTATATACAGAGTTCAGGAAGATGACGAGCGAAAATCATCGAAAGGAAATTCTATTACCTGGGGTATTTTACTACCCCAGGCTGAGTTGCGACTGAGCCAAGGGCGTTTAAAAATTAGCCATTTTAAAACTTTTATAGTACCTGCGTTAGAGTTATGATAAGAGAAAATTGCATTTGAAATCGAGGGGCCATATGCCTGACCGATGCCTTCCTGAAAACATACTTTCTTTGCTTTTTCACTGGGGTTCAAGCCACCTGAAAAAAAGGATCATGCAGCAATATACACTTATTAAAAAAGAACGGGAAGTTGTTGTCATTATTTTACATTTTTCAGTTTTCTTAAATTAGACCTAATACTGTTTTTAACAGGTATACGAGACACTCCCCTAAGCTCTAAATGCAATAGTTTAAATTAATAATCATAATTCTAGTCATAATTGTTTCAGCTTTCAGAGGTGTTATTTTGACATATTTTCCCTTAAAAACTACACGGGAAAAATGGCAAGCAATCACATATTTTTTGCGCATTCATTCAGTAAAATATTTCAGGGATTGAAGCGAATGCTGCACGAAATGCAGAAATGCTAAGTTTATGCAAAATAGACCTTTGATCTGGAAAACGAAGATAAACGCGTGATTAGCTTTTAACCGGATAATGTTCTCGTCACTGCCCTAAAGGATTAATTGAAAGGTTTATTTTCATTTTGCTATGAACATTTATTGACCATTTTAAGGCTGATTGGAGAGTTTATAAAGGTAACGAAAAAACGGCATTCGAGATAATTTGATGTAAGGTTGACGGTCTAGACAGAAGATAAATTTGCTTCTTGGGCATATATTTTAGTTAACCATCAGAATAAAAGTGCCAACACGTGAGATACAATTGATCATGTTGACATCAGGATTATATGGAAACATCGGCCCCAATTTATTAAATAGAAAAATTGAACAGACATCTACCTATGACATGTAAGTCGGTATAGTAGAAAATCACGTAAGATGTTTTTCAACCTTTAAAGTAAAAATGCTTTACATGTTTACAATACATTACTTTAATAGCTTTTTTATACTTTTCTGGATAATTTACCCAAAACCCTCGTAAAATACTGTTCTATTGTCAAATTTTTTAAATAATTCCTTAGTATTGAATTCATAAAAATAATCATTATATACCATTTACTAACGAAATATTGCGATTTATTGCTGATCATATTATAGATTCTTGGAGTTCAAGAGAACTGTTATTATTCATTCCACTGGTTTCTTTGCCACGTGTTATCAGTTTTCAATTTATACAAATACTTACTGCGTCCTCTTATGATAGATGGTGCTTTCTGAAAGGATCAGCATCGTCCAGGAAATCAATAGAATGAAATCGAAGCTAATATTATTTCCCTATTTTCATTTACGTTTCATTTTGTCATTTAAGGTTTCTTTAAGCCCTTGTATATTTCGGGTGGCAGAAATGTTTACGTTTATGTTACACAAGAGATGGCGACACGAAGTGCCAGGTCAATAGGCATTTGAAAATTTATTTTTTTATATTTAACACGACAAATGGTGAATAGTATTTAAAATGCAAGTACCGTTAACTACCTTCAGGGTTTCGGCAAGTTTTGCGTAAAAGTAATTTTGAATACATATCTCTATAATTTCCTTGATGGTAACTTAATTGCGTTTTAGAAAGTCGATGACGGAATTCTATTTGATTTAACCAGAGTTACTATTTTCCATGTTTCGGTATCTTCCTTCCGCTAATTTATTGCTTGTGTAATTAGAAACTCATTCGAATGTTGATCTCAAGAGTTCGTGAGGATTTTTCACATTTAACTCACTGAAATCTGTTTTCTTCGCTGCATCCACTATTTTTTTCTTATCAACAACCAAGTTTAGATCTTATCTGTCAAAATATTAGAAATGAGCTTATGCAACACTATAAGGAAGGAGTTATTCAGATCAATTGATTCATTTTGAAATTGGATTTGAAGCTCCATCCGTACTAAGTCCAACTGACTCAAGAACTTAAGGCTCAAGACCATGGGCAACGCAGAACATACGCAAATTGGGTGATAGAACAACAAACCGTTGATCATTTTTCGAACGGAATTTTCTATAGCGATGACGCTCATTTTTCGCTCGGTGGTTACGTGAATAAACAGAACAGCCGTATATAGGGCTCTCAAAATCCTCAGCGTATCGCTGAAAGGCCTTTGCATCCTGAAAAAGTGATCGTATGGTGTGCATTATGGTCTGGTGGTGTTATTGCCCCGTATGTTTTTGAAAACGATCAAGGAAGAGCCATCACAGTCAATTCTGAGCACTATGGACGCATTTTAACCGATTATTTTTGGAGAGAAATTGAAGATTATGATCTGGAAGACATGTGGTTTCAGCAGAATGGGATAACGAGTCACACAACACTGGTAGTTAGAGCCCTATTGCAAGAGAAATGTCCAGGACGCGTAATTTCGAGATTGAACGATGACAATTGGCCCGCAAGATCCTGCGACTTAACACCGTTAGATTTCTTTTTGTGGGGCTATGCGAAAGATCGTGTTTACGCCAACAATCATCAAACCCTTGAGCACCTGAAAGCCAATATCCGTGAAGTTATGACCGATATATTACCTCAAAAGGATTGAGGCCTGTAGGAGGTCCCGCGGAGGACATTTAAATGATATTGTTTTTTACGTATAATGGTAAGGTTTAATCTTAATATCAAATTAAAATTTTCGTTTCTATCTGAATATTTTGTATGCTTTTTTTACTAAACTTTCCCAGGCATAAAATGGATTACCCTGTATTAACATGCACATGTTTTTGTTACTCTGATATCACAAAAGAAACCCAAGGTTAAATTGTTTGATTCGTTATTTTATTTATCTTTATTGCTAATGTTGATCGTAAATTGAGCAAATTCATCCTTATCCTTATCCTGGCTTGTTCGCATCAAAGAAAAACATAGCGTTAAATCAAAATTTATGAAAAGTTGACAGTTGTGTCAAGTTGTTGTTGACAGTTGTGTGTTGACAGTTGTGTGTTGTCGAATGCTTAGAATCATAGATAGAGATGTACATATTCTCACTTATTTACAGTTAAATTGTTCACTATTTTCAGTTTCACTAGAATGGCATGCAGAATGTTTGAGGTTGTTAAGTAACATAACAGTAACAAAGTCTTTAGAAAAAAAATATATTTATTGCAATAATATTGTACAGACACTATTTTAAAAATAAAAATATTCTAGTTTATTATCCTAGGGTATTTGTTATTGCCTAGAATATCTAGATAGTACAATTTGATAATGGTCTAAAACTTAACGCAATCTAAAAATATTAGTACGATTTTCTAAAGTATATTTACATCAATCAACATCAAAGCGTATATGTACGAATAATCCATAAACTTGATAATTTTGAATAACATTCAACCAAGATACCAATGGTATTATTTTACATTGAAACGATCGAACTCGAATGCTTCCCAAAGAAGATATCCCCTACTATGCAGACATCTTCTTTCATTCTTCTTGAGATTATTCTAGCTATGCAATTCAAAAGATTATTAAATCTATTCATGGGCAGTGACCAGCATTGTAAAATGCGAATTTTTTTTTTCGAAATTCAAACATATTTATATTGTTTTAATATATTATAATTTTAACTATTGAGTTGATCATCAACATAAATGCACGTTAAATAGATCATAACTTTATGATTTTATCAACATTTTTGAAATGTCTTTAGTGGTAGTTTTACAGTAAAAAGTTATAGGTCGTGAATTGAGGTATGCACTACGAGCAATTTCATTGCGATTAAACTAATTTGGCCAATTTAAATGTAAATCTCTATTTAGCATTGATAGAGTTCCCTGGTTCCAACAAAGTCAAATTCCATGAAATTTGTTATTAACAGTAAATATTAATTTGCGTCATTATATAACAGGCTAATTATAACATAAAATACAAAATATATGCTAAATGATATGGATTTATAAGTCTAGTTTACATGTGATATGCATTAGACAGTATTCACACTGATCAGTATCCATGAATAAGTTACATGATTGAATGACTCATTCTAAATACGAATCTTTGATAACAAAGATATGTTTCTTATTGCGGTTTACGCATGAGTAACACAATTTTCAATAAAACATTCAAGTACTTTCAAGGGGAACGATATGCTGAAAGGAGTCAACCTTCACAGGATTTCTAAATTTAAGCGCTGCATTATACCCTATGTAGGCCTTAAACTTTAAGTTTTACACAAACTTGCAATTGATTAAACTGCTTTTTCTAAGCTCTACTGGAATCACATTTTTTGATAATCAAAAGCGGGTTTGGAGACAATTGGTTTAGAAGATTCCAGAATTTAAAAACTAGCAAGTAATATACCGTGAACATATTTTATGGTTTGCTGTACTGATACAAGTCGATTTTTTAAAATAGCTTCATATAAGAAAAAACTGAAAATGGGATTTGAATATGATAATTTACAGTACTGATTAATTATTTATTTGAGTGGTAAATCGACTTGTAGACAAAATATAGATACAAGTCAGCTAATGAACACGTAAACAAAGCTACTACTATATCAATCTTATTGTAACAATCATTTTCTTCATTTAAACAATTTTATAAATATAAGCCAATTGAATATAAGTTGATTGTAGACGCGAGTTTCCGCACCTAATCACGAAATTTGGTAGAAAACACACCGGGAAAGTTTAACATATTTTACAGGACTAGAAGAAAACTTACTTTTTTCAAAGCCTTCTGATTGCATTAACATTTAGGTAAACAATATTACTATATACATCAATACATTTCCTAAGCTAGACGTTATTGGAAAGTCAATAAGTATTCAGTCTCACATAAAATACCGCAAAAGAAAATTTGCAGGGTTCTCTAAACGTCGTTGACGTGACAGAAATTGACCTTTTTTCCATCGATGTTTGATAGTAGGTTAAAAGGTTTGTTGTGAACTAAAAACTCTTTTATACAACCGTAGAATCCTTTATAGTATGCGTCTGGTAAACCAGGAGGCAAGGATGATGTTCCGCCTATAATATCAAAACACTTAGCTTCAGCAAAAGCATGTATTTCAAATTTTATTTAAATAATAAATAAGTCAAAATGTCATAATTGCAAACTATACTTAATAGTTGAAGCCTCTTTTCATGTTTTGGACTATAATATTGGCCACGCTTATTTATACTTGCAACACGCATGAAGCCATCCGTGTTGATATGATGAATATGATTTTGATATGCGATTTTTTCAAAAAGTCTCAAATTGGTCTATATTTCAGTGTTTGTACAAATACTTTTACATCGAAGATTAACTCTTAACAAGAACGGACACATGGCAGTGTCTTTTGATTTCTGCACAAACTGTAAAACAGTAGCCAGAATTTCTTTTAAAACTGCTTAAAGTTTTTAAATTTGCAAAAATTAACTTCCCGTCCCAAGTTTTAAATACTGATTTCAAGTATTACCATTAAAGTATAAGAAATTAAAATTTCCATTGGCAATAACGGACAAAAACTTTGTCATCTGAAATATTAAATGGTTTTGATATTATAAATTCGCATTTGTATGAAAGTTTAGCAGGAGCAGGAATCAGTAGAGAAAGGACATATCCAAGGCGCATTTTTTTCTCCGAAACAAACTGCTTTCTTTTCAATGGAAGGTTCGATTATTTTCTGTGGGAAAATAATTAAATACTAATTATTCTAATATTTCCTTCCTGCAAAATGCAAATCGGGCTCGAAATTGAAAATTTTACGGGGTCGACTTTGCAGTATAATTCGCAAAGAAATGTTATCCTGAAACAAATTTAGCTGCTTGCGAAGTTCATTACTAAACATTCTTTTTATTTGCCTAATAATTTACACTTTATCTTTTACGCAACATTAAGCTTGTAATTTCTTTAAAGCGCAGTCGCCTATCTTCCATTTCGGTTTTATTTATGCACTGTTGTTGTCAACCGACTAATTTTGAAGAATTTTTCCTTGGGTCCGCTAGACGTAATGCCACAAAGGAAAAGGAAAATTTAAAAAATAAGTAGAGGTCATGTAAAAAGCCACATTCGGCACTCGAAATTAAAATTGGGGTTTTGTCTTGTTATCATTCCATCATATTTGCACCAGCAAAAATATGTGGTTTCCTTTAAATGAAAAATATATATTATCTAGGAAATTGTGGAAAAATAATTAGAAGAGTAAATTCTTACCGATCCATAATTTGGCAGTCGTTCGTAGACTTTTCGACCCAGGACTTGATCGCCCCCTAACAATTCTTTCACCATCCACCGATATCATACCAATTCGTTTTTTTCTCTTCACGTGAATTATATGCCAATGTCCATCGTCTACTCTTTTGGTAGCTCTGCAAATTTAATGAGGCATAAATAAGTAACGTTAAAAAAAGTATCTATTATTTTAACAGATACTTATTTTCCGCAAAAACAGAATATTTCTAACCTGATAGAAAAGAACCGTTTATCTCTACCCAGGTTAAAGCTGACTTGCGGAAATCCATTTTCAATTGCAATCGCAAAATATTCTCGGGCAATCCTTTTCGTTTTAGTCCGCCATAATAACAGTCCATCAGCGACAAAAGTTTGGATCTGAAATTTATAGTCGTTTCCCAGTTCCGATTTTCGCCTAAAAAATATTCCTTTTACTACCTACATTCAAATTAGTGATTGTTATTGTTAGGGTTAAGTGGTAGTCAGTAATGTAAGTAGCTATAAAATTTCAATTTCTTTGATGTCAGAGAATTTCTAAAACTACGCGAGTCTTCTTTATATGTAAGAGGTGGCAGGTCACACGAAACAAACTTAAAAATTTATAGGGCCCCGGAGAAAAGTTTAAATGGGATGCTTTCTACGTGGACCTGGACCAAAATAAACGGGTCAATATAAATTTTTTTCTGTCATCACTCTGCTGCTCTGTCAGCAACTTGAAATAAATGTTTCATCACTCATTTTCTTGCACTACTTTAGCACAATTACAAATTTCCCGGATAATTAACGGTTAATAATTGAAATTTCAAACTGAGTTATTTCGCTCCATCAACCGAATTAATTCCGATAAATTACCTACTAAAACCCATAGTCATAATCATTATTAGTAAAGTTAGTCGGTTAAATAAAACTTAACTTACGGTTCATCCTCCTCATTGTAATCGAGAATTCCGGTTTCTTTTCTCTTTCGTTTCAATTGGACAACTACTTGACTTGCGGTATCAGTATGATTATTGCTGTGTTAGAAAGAAACAAATAGTTAGTATCAGCAATTTACAGTGCGATCTGTTTGGGTTTGGGTTTTGTGGATCTGGATTGGATCAATTCGTTTTAATTGTACAATTAAATATTTAATAAAGTATTCCTTAAAATCTTCTTTGCTGAATGAAAAGTCACGATAGTTTTGTGTAAGGGTACGTGCACACCGGCGACCGAGCTGCGCGATGCGATGCTGCAAGTGGTCAAGCGATGCGAGCGAGGCCGAGCAAATGTGCATATTAGGGGTGAGGAGATTGACTACTTTTGAATACTCGTACCGACTAGTTACTTTTGGATTCAATACTAGTTACTTCGGATCAGTTATTCAAGTGCAAATTCTACAACGGGCAACGCTGTTTTTTTTTAGTGATTAGAAACGGGCGACGTTGAAAATCAAAACCCGTCTGTCGGCATCAATCTGTATCGAACTGGTACTGATTACTGGTATTGATTATCAGTCGTTACTTCGGACACTGATTCGTAACGAATACTCGAATACCGATTAGTTACTTTTCTCCCACAACTAGTGCATATAGGACGCGATTTTTTAGTGCTTTGAGTTGTGCGTTAACGCTTGGCTTGGGAAGATAAAAGTCGTTTTTTTTTATGAATTTTCTGGTTATTGGAGACGTAACTGAAAAAATTCTGGAAACTCCCAGAAATTTCCTACTAAAGTGCGTTGATGAGCCGGATTGTGGGCTTTTTGTTTGTTTTTTTGCCAAATTTTTTAAAAATTTGTTTTTCAACGGCCAATCGCCTCACCTTCGTATGTGGTGTGCACCCTTTCCTAGGAGAATTATTACGGACATTTATGCACAATTTCAAACCTTTATTTTCTCATTATCTACTATTTGACCTTTACAGTGAATATTTTGAACAAGCTAATAAAAATGAAATTAGTGAGATATTTATGTCAGTTTTTTATGTACAACTTCATTCTTCATTTAAAACATTGTTGCAACTAAACTAAACTATGACATAAAATTTAGTAAACAGTGGCTGCGAAAGAAAATGAATCGTGCGGGTATAATAATACATTTTTAACACGATTTGCACAAAACTCCGCAACGTGAACAATTTAATGTATTCGCTTGACCAAATATAACCAAAAATAATCAGTAATGCTGTGTGGGTTCGCTGATATTTAAAGGATGGGTATTAGCAAGAGCTCTGTGGGTTCGAAATACCTAATTCATTTACCTTCTAAATCCTTTTAACTTGTACTGCAAATGGGTATTTCCAGTGAATTTGATGGGGCCGTGATCCTCTGTAAAATGGAAACATTTCAAACAAAGAAACAATTAAGCGTATAGAATAAAAATGATCCATTTAGTATAAACTTTTCGTTTGGTCCGGCACTTTCTGTACGGTGAAGAATTAATTAATTACACACGTTAGGGGTTCAGTTTTTTGTTAACTGTTAAAAGGGCTTTAGGCGCGTATGGTGTAATAATTGCTGAAATAAATATTTGGCCACATTCGCAGGGTGAAAGAGGGTAATACTGTCATACCTGATCGGAAGGTCTCTTTTTACATCAGCTGTTGATTTGCCTGAAGGCACTAAGCTTTGTTCCAACACGTCACGATATTTGAAAGATAATTATTGCTTACAAGCGCAAACATGATTATATCTAAAGCTTTTTAACTTTTTTCCATTACACTTTCTTACGTTTGATGTATTAATTCATGCAATATCAAGTTTTCCTGACACGAGATTTATAATTCGACCGTTCTAAATAAACGGAAGTTATTAATAAATTAAAATCAGGGTGTCAGTGTATTTATCAACCTTTAGGGGTTGGCTTATATTTAGATTACCTGGCTGCTTAACATACAATATTAATTATTTCTTTCATGAAGAAAGTGTGGCGATTTATTATGGTTCTAATCTCCAATTATTTCACGAATTAATTTTAAAGTAAATTTTCTTTTTGCTTAAAATGTATGGCGTGCAAAATTAAATTAACATTATTGCGTGATTTCTTCTTAACTCTTAGTCACTTAAACAAATCAGTTAGTTACTAAAATTTATGCTTTGCCTATTAAATTGGTGTTTTGAAATTAAGCTGCAATTATTTTATTGGGCAGTCAAATATCATTATTGTACTAATGATTCGGTATTGCTGCAGTGTCTCCTAAAATAATTATTAAGCAGGCTTAATGGCAGTAATTATTACGCTCAATTATACGTAAATAATTAGACCAATTGTCATTTAATGCTTCAAAATTGCAACAAAATACCCAAAATTTACAATTTACATTACCATGTCAAGTCGGAAGATGTTTAATAATTTTGGCAGTTAATTTTTGACGCTAGCTCTATGGATGTCACGCTGAACCTTAATTGCCTAGAGAAAAGAAAGTGTAACTTGATTGATTTTTTCGGTCTTCTATCCCACAAACTTAAAGTATAACCGGAAGCGACCTGAGCGATTCCAACTAATATAAGTCATTCTTTAGGCGAGTTCTAAAATGAAAGAGGCGAGCCTTTAATAAGTTAGTTATTGATGGGAACGACTGTATAATTAATTGTGTCTCAGTTCTGACAGGGCCGCGAATAAAAGCTAATTAATGAAGACCTTTACTAGAATGAAAATTTAAAACTTCTTCTGTTACACGCTGCGTAAGTGGCGCAAAGGCGAAAACTCTCGTTGTGGTCGCAGCCTAATTGTATTAGAATATATGCGTCTAATGTAACTAAGATTTTAATTAATATTGCCTCCACCAATTTAATCGAGCCGCCGAAAGCAGACTTTATAAAGTAATTTAATTATGTAGCATTCGTTGAAGTTCCTTCTACGGCTAAGGGCAAAGTGATAGAAGGGTGCAAAGCAAAATTCATGTATTAAAATAAGGAAGCTTTATTAAACTAATATGCAAAAATGCGGCAAGTTTAAGTTTCACGTAATTGTCTCTAACGAAAAACTAATTAGTTGATGCTAACACACGCTATGTGAATGGGATTTAAGCGAAGTTACGTATTATTGGATTTCTGGTTTATTATTATTGGTAAACTGTTGGAAGTTCTACTCAAAACTACCGCAATTAAAATAGATATATCGCCTTCACAAAAATTGTAAAAATTTTCAGATTTTTTAAATTTGCTATGCTAGTTTGCAGTATCGACGGGAATACGAGTAAATTTGAATACAAAAAGCATCTCATAATATAAAAAGTGCGGTTTTATCCCTTTGATTTAATCAATATTGCAGACACCGAAGGGTGTTCATTAAGTTCAGTAACATAATAAGGCGATGCTTCCATAATATCAGAGTATGATGACGCGTCATTGCCTTTGAAGGTCTTTATATATACGGGAGCTAAAACACCAGCAAAGATCCGTTGAAACATTAACTTGAAATATTATTTATATTTTCCAGATGAAATATGTTCAATTTGAAAAGCGCACTTTTATAAGTGCTTTCATTCGAGATAAATGTTTCACCTTTTCAATAACGTTCAACATTACGCCGGCCTAATTTTCCTATAAATTGTTTGTAGGCAGTACGTACGAAACAACTGTGGTAATTTATGCAGTAATGAATATCATTTGGCTGAAATGATTGCCCTTTCCTAGCGTTTCAGATAGCGGCAATCAAATTGGCCAAAAATCAGCCATCGAGAATTGTCAGTTACAAAAACATTGAGCATATTTTAGTGTTTTGTTGGAGTTTATCTCGCTCAGTCCACTGAACATTGAAGCAACGGATGACAAATACATTTTTGAATAATCGTTGAATTTTTCAAATTGGCTGGCAAAGTGATATTTAGTTCCTTTGTTGTTTCTCTTGGCTCTTTTTAAAGGGGAAAATCTCTCCTGCATTTTGGATAGCTTAAGTCAATTAATGACCCCCATAAGCTATTCGTGCTGCAGTCGTAATAATCAAGGTAAAGCAAGACATTGTATAGGATAATAAAAAATTATTCATATAAAGTTTGTCAACCAAATTAAGCAAATTAATTTGCAAACTAAATTTCAATTGGTTGTTTAAATCTGATACAGGCAATTTGCCCTTGTTTGATCGGCCTTATAAACAAATTATACGAAAATTGAATTTTTCAATTCCTTTCGTGTTGCGGAGATTTTTTCAGTATTTGCATGTTACATGACAAATTTCCTGCAAATTCTCTACGAGTTTTTCCATTTTCACTGAGTTTACATGTCGCAGTATACAATTCTCATTTTCAATGCCCCGTTAAGCAAACAAATAAATAGCCTATCAGGAAGAAATGAAATCATGTGTGTTTAACCGCGTACCCAGTCGAATACTACTTGACCCTCTGAATAAAAAAGCACAAAAGATACGTTGATTCAGAGATGTACTTACCAATTTCGCAACGCTTTCCCTTAAACTTTGAGGGACATTGGCAAGTGAAATGGTCCAAGTCGGGAACACATATTCCATTATTTAGACAAGGATTTTTGTGTAAGGGACATGGTAATCCCTCATAGAATCCCACGTTCGATGCGCAACTATTGTTGGAGGGATTGTATGAGCAGTCCGATAATATGTTTGTTATCGGCAACGGATTTCCATTTACGGTGAGTCCTTGAATGATTCCTCGGAATCCCTTATTCCATCCGGGAAAGGAGAACAGATTGTTCTCATCTTCTCTTTCACTGAAATTGGTGCAAATGTAAATTATTTGCTCTATTTGATTTCGGAGCCTATTCTCTTGCAGACACCTTTATTACCAGGGCTTAGAATTTCACATGATTTATTATTAGGTTTTCTATTCGGAAATAATTTAATAAACAGTTTAGTCTGCTAAACGATCACCACTATTGTGTAGTTTGACAAAATTTAATTTTGTAATACCTATACTCAAAACAAATAATTGAATTGATGGCCTAAATTATTAGAGCGATTCGGAGAAGAATTTTAGTAAGTATAGGGGACTTGAATTGTCAATTTTCGGTATTCTTTAAAGAGAAAAGTGTGGGGAAATCCCTTTATATTTTCATGTGCGGCGTTTTATGCTGTCCATTTCGCCAAGCGAATGAAATATAAAGCTTTCCGAAAAGTGTTCGTTTTTTTCGAACAATATAAGCTCCAACTGAGCAGTTTTTTCCTAGATAATCCTCTCAGACACGAATCCATGGATTAGAAAGGGTGGTAACATATGAATTAAGGTTTTTATTTTCCAAGCAGAATTTGTTCTCACAGATATATTTTAGACCAGCAAAATTGACTTTTCTCGTCTACAAAAATCGATTTATTAACTCACAACTCTTGAAATGTGGAAAATTATTAGTTTAATACCAGCACACTCAAAATTTAATTCTCTTTGGTAACGCGATTTGTGTCCCTCTTGATATTACTACATTTTAGCTTTTAAGCTTTTATCACTCTGATAATATGATTCATTGCCTAAATCCATCTAGTCGTTTCCTATTGTGTATGTGTTTCTCGGAAGCAAATAAGGCCCTAATATATCGCGACAACCAAGTGGAGATTGGCTGGTGTTGATTCATAGCAAATACGGTCGATGTTTGAAGTGTGAAGAATCAATTAAAGTTCCAACTCTCGTACTTAGAGAGAACACTAATAAAGCTGAAATCTACTAAATGCATTATGTGATGAATGGGAGCCATTGAGCATCGAAATGCGGTGAGTATATCAAAAATCCCAAAAGAAAAGCCCATCGTTACAGTGAAAAAAGTGTCTGCTGAAAAGAGGCTTGTTCCATTTTTTATGGTTATTACGGGAAAGATCCTACGTAGAGTGGCGAGTCAAGCACAAAGTCCCTAATAGGGGTGTCCGAGTAGCCAAAAACTATGGTTGAATTGTCAACTTGTAAAATGCCCTCTTTCCCTTTTCCAGATATGCGGGCTTTGTGCCATTTACGGATGACGATGGGATCTAGCGTCCTAAACGAAAAGGATACGGATTATAGGCAACATTGCTCTGCTAAAATGTGTTAAAAATATAAAACATTTTAAACTTTTCACTAGCGAATTCTTGGAAGAATTTGGAAAAGTCGCTTTTGGTAGCATGGATCCACATTGTTATTAATGCCATATGGCTATTATTTATAATTTTATGAAAGACAAAATCACTTATTCTATACAATTTCTATGAAATGAAATCTACTTCTAATGTTATACCGGGTGTCAATTTGAAACCTTCCCACCCTTAATATCTGTCTTGCAGTTTAAAATATGGAAAATCGGAAAGACCCATTACCCGTAAATTTTATTTGTAAGGGGGACATTTTAGATTAATGTTTTTAGCCTCCTTCTTTCAACCCCCTTGGACGGGTAGATCTCAGCCTTAGAATCTTAAATCGGAAGGGGGGTCAAGTGGCACATCGTTTTAAAGGGCGTTCAATTAGCTTTTTAATTGGTTACTACTTTCTTGCTTTTGGTTCAGGGGTTTTCAAATAATCGCGTCTCAACATTACAGAAACAACTAAACTTGCCTGCATTAAGATTTTGGTTTTCAGATTAGTGTTTAAACAAAAATTATGTCATTGGGTCTGCTTATAGTACAAATAATTAGAAGATTCGGTTACACCGTTAAAATCGTTGAATAGCAGGAAGAAAATCTAGGTTAAACGCCTGATTTCCTATTGTATATTCACTATTTTCCTTCCATAAAAATCACTTTTTATTTACGGAAGAGAAATTTCTACAATAAAACCCATGGGATCTACTTATGTCCTATCTTATAAGTTCAAAATATTTTCTATTTTTCTGTAAACAATAATAAAGTCTACTTTTGAACAACCCCC